CATTGGCGGTCAAACAATGTTGTTGAAGTGTGGTATGCTTTATTTCTTACCAAACCGGAATTAACAAATTGTAAAACAGGAGATCTTATAGCTATTGGAAGTGCCCTCCACCACATGGTCAAGGGATAAATTACCGCAATAATTTGCTATCCGATGAAATACTATGATACACAACGCACGAATTTCGCATATGCTGCTAAGGACACTTTACAATAAGCATGTAACAAGTCGAACCACATAGGTCACAGCGAATGGCGAAAAATAAAAACAATCATTTCTCCTAGGACACTGAGCAAAAATTGTAAAACACTAAGAACGATGAACACAGAGAATACCAGTAGCAAAACTCTCAATAAAACACGAGCACAGATCGAAAGTGAATGACTTGGAAAATAGAAATGGAAATGTACTTGGCTAACACTTAAAGTCCTTGGAAGATGAAGAAAACAGAAACGAATATAGAACCTATCCATAACGTAAGTTTATCCGAGTTCGGTGGAGTCGGCAAGAGGATTTGGTTTACAAAGCTCAGCGGGCAGACCCAGATAGACGCAGAGTTCACTGCCATTCATAACTGATACCATATTTGACTGAGGCGCGTAACGTGGTCGGAAGGCGACCAACTGAAACGTATGACGAGTGAAAAAATCGGTGAAAAAATGACCTGTTTATGCAGTACTCACTCTATGTTGTTCGAGAATATGTTCTGCAATTCCAGGCTCAATTACATTCTGACGGCAGACTTTGCAATGCCTGACGCGCCTTGGCTGATCCAGCATGTGTTGTCTCATGAAGTGATCGATCAAAACAACTCCCTGGAAATCAGTAGATGATTAAAAGGATGGCAACCTGGAGAAGGGAGGCGAGAGTTGAAGAAAAAGTACCGTAGGGTCCTGGCCCATTGGCGCCATACATGTCTTACAAGCGACGAAACGTTTCATGGCGTGCACCAACTCATGCGAAATTTTCAATCCTCCGGGTAATTCTCGTTGCCACGGATCTGCGACTCCGCAGAGGTAGCAACAAGTGACATCACAGCTGCAAAGATAGCATGTCAAGTTCATCTAAAGCTCATCTAAGAGTATGGAGGCGCTGAGGGTAACAATTGATCCGGTGAGACTACCGATAATGACTTGTATGTGTGTGTTTTAACAAAAAAAAAAACAAATGAATACATGAATTCTTTTAACATTTCCAAAGAATTAATTATTCGTGAAAGCTTCCCACTCTAAATCAACAATAATTTATTGGTTTTTCAACCACAGGCTCACTATTCTGTCTGTTTGTACTTGTTCGGTAATTCATGAGTTCTATGAGTCAGTAGATGTGGCTGCCGTACCCTTCCATTAAAAAGGAATGGAGATAGTTGTGAGATAACCGACTGAAGTTGCCAACAGGTTTGACCGGAGGTTTACCAATAGCGATTTACATTCAGGATCTAATGATTTTATAATGCAGTGAGATTTCAGTTTCCTGTTGCGTAGAGTTGAATAATTATGTCGCTCCCGAAAGCATTCAGTGGCTGCTTTCATAGTCCGCCGGCGTGCCAGCGTGCCAACCGAGGTAGTGTTAGGAGAAAGGAGTTGGGCAGATGGTCGGCCGACGCGGTCGCGTCGCGCCCAAACCCCTTCGAGAAGCTGATAACAAAGAAAAACAAGATCAAAAACCAAACAACCATGGGCTTGTGCAAATGGTTTTTGGTCTTGTTTTTCCTTGTTTTCAGCCCTTTGAAGGGGCTCGGGCGCGACGCGACAGCGTCGACCAACCATCTGCCTCCCTACTCCCCCCTAGTACTACCCCGACCGGCACGCCGGCACGTCGGCACGTCGGTGGATTTTGAAAGCAGCCAGTGGGTCATTATTCTCAGATGAACAGCGGCTGATCGAGAAATCTAATCAAATGCATAGGCATCGGCACATTTTGAATATCGTTTGCATGCCATATTGCTCCTCTATCGAATTTCGTGTTCCGAAAGTATCATTAGTCTCGAAGAAGGAGCAACACGACTGGTACACATATATTTTAGTACAGGCTGAACACTGAAGTTAATAAACTTTTCCTTGTGCAACCTGCATCTTTTCAAAACGGGCTAATGACGCAGTTATCAGAAGAACATGCACGACCTTAAGCCTACTGCGGATTATTAGACGTTTGATATTGCCCACTGGAAGGTTTACCGAGACAACATCATCAGCCGCTCGTGCAATTCACTGCCGACTTTCTGCGCCGACGTTGCCATATATGACAGAAGCCGGAGTCACATCTTTTCCTCACAATTTCTCGGAATATATCTTTGATAGCCTGACTCTTGTTGTGATCCATAACCATTTAACCATGCGATCTCAGATGCTAGTTTACATGACCCCTCTAGTCCCACTTCGCCTGTACAAACTCATGAGGCTGTTTTGTACATATTACGAGTGACTGACGGCACATTTCACAGCTTCAGGGTGGGCAGAATGTGCATGGAGTGACCTATTTTATGATTTGTTCTTCCGATACCGCTTCACATNAATGATTATGTACATGTTTAGGCAAGGAAGCCAGTCTTCATGCCTTCGAGCCAATCACAGTATATCATGGAACTTCTCCCATGATATACTGTGATTGTTGATCGAGGATGCAGATAAGTCATCCACTTCACCTTGCGTTGATGTATGTAATCATGTAGCAGCCATCGCCAGCAGTACATAATGTGCATGTGTGCCACAACTGAGCTCTCCATTCTGCTCGTTTTGGGAAAATTACAGCCCATTCCATTTGAAAATATTACAATTCAGGCACTCCCTAATCAGAGCCAGTGAACAGTACTCAATCCGAACGTCATAACTTCTGCTTCGTGCTTGTCCAGCATTTCAAAAAGCGCTTGGATAGCTTTTGTTAATCACGTTCGTTTATATAAAGCGCAGTTACAACGAACCACTCCAATACGCAGTTTTCCTGAAGCTTACATGAACATAGGTGATCGAGAAATTCGTTCGTGTTGGGCAGATATAAAACGGATAAGTTGACCAACAATTTCAGTGAGGAACGGGGAAATGCACTCCGTTGGTCTTCCGGCGAGTGCTACAGACCATCAAGTAAACTTTGCACAACGAACTCCAAGAGTCTTTCACGTCTTTTTTTTTGTTAACGCTAGCTTCAAAATGCATTCGTTCACCTTTTACTAATAGACTGTGACCTGAGAAGAATCACTGCTAAGCACTATTCCAAAAGTGTAAACATACCTATGCTTCTCGTGCACTCCATTGTGAAACGTCATCTTAGCGGCGCTAACGAACCGAGTCGCACAATTGCTGCAAGTATTAAATATAGAACGGATCATGTAAGTTTTTTTCTTTCAGTTATATGATATCTTTCTAACAAGAAAAAAGAGATGACGTACTCGGACGACATGGGGAATTGAACAGAGTGAATGTGGTTGATATGCTTTCGCAACATCTGCACTGATGGAAAGGCACCGTTGCAATTACGAAGCGGGCAGTGCAGAGTATACACCACTTGAATCTTGTTCTCACCACCTGAAAATAGGAGTTACACGCAGTGGATCTGAACCCTTTCCATACGCACAGTTCAAACTCTAATGTGACTAGTGAAATACATAATTTCGTTTACATTATAGAGCATCTTCAGCATGACTCAAGAGGTGAACCGTGTATCACACAACTTTGCGCGTACACGCCTACGGGTTATGATTTTTCATATACTACAAACTAAAAGAGCTACCGAATTTGTATGGGACCCTCGGGGAGATAGAATTAAATGCACTTATTAGTACACGGTTATTGGAGTTGGACTAATGCTAGTAGCAGTCTAGCGAGATTCGCATAGCTGAACCATCTTCCTACGTGCCTGCTTGAACTGTTTCTGACAACCATACCATCTTTAAAGGTGAAGGCTACTGTACGCTGAATGTCATTTTTGCCAACAATGTCGCATGAATGTTTGACTGTCGTGCGATGTACTGATTATGTTGGGGATGCAAAACAACCTCCCATCCAAACCTCAGTAATTTTAGACGAGTGGTCAAAGATAAGGGTGATCTGGTGCTGTGCTGGTAAAAAACCAGACCTCTACGAATAACTCGTTACGAACGCTTTTGCTCCATTTCTACCTTCACACTGTGAAGCTTGGGATTTTCAGAAATGGTGTAGTTGCGCTGCAGTTAACAAAGATAATCTCTCCCAGTTCCGGGAACAATAGAACATAATCTTTGAAGAATGGATCTTCGTTCTGGAGTGGTCAAAGGCGGCTCACTGAGATCACTCTACGATCGCTTCCTCCCCACCTTGTCACACACAATCCATCCGTTCCCAATGCTTTTCAGAGAGGACTGCCTTCGTCACCTTCCGCAATAAATCCCATATAGAAACGCAGTTAACAGATTGCGCTTATTGAGTTCGTTCAAATATCAATGTAGCTAAGGACTTTCCATTGAAAAAAAAAGATGAAAACTCTGTTGCGATAAGAAATGTATTCGAACCTTCACGATTTCTCTGACTATGCTTCAAGGCAAAATGCTCAATCATTTCCTGCTCCGTTCGTATAACGTCCGCCGTACTGAAGCACTCCATACATACGAACTTATTTTGATGTTGATGAAAGCGGTGTAATCGAACATCGTTGCTGGAGTTCAGCGCCCGTCCGCATCTCTGCAACAAACAAAATTTTAAAAACAGGAAATAATTAAGAGAAAATGTGTAAGACAAAACTTAGTGAGACCCACTTCATCGCTGCATTTTACGAGTTCTTGAACTATCTTTAGCATCATGGCAATAGTATTCGAATTCTGGCACTTTTCCATACCCTTCAAACCTCCATGTAGTCCGATGAGTACTTGAGGAAATATTTTCAACTCACATCAAGAAGTTTGCTGAGTGCTTGATTGAACTCCGTGTTCAGAGCAGCATATTGCGCAAAGTTCAGAATAGGCAAATCGTTTGTACATGATGGTGATCTCACTAACACCCCAGATGGGCTCATTGCCACTGTACGAGGATTGAAATGGCGGAGACAGAGTCGAGGTTGATGGCACAAACGGAACTGAAAATTTGCAATAAATCATTTCTAAAAACTAAAAATATAACTCAGAACTTACTCCGTTTAGAATTTCCTGAGCAACTGGATTTGAAAGGTATCGACAAATGTTCATCGCCCATTGCTCCTTGAGTGTAACCGGATTGACCGGTACAGCAACCATATAATCGACATAAAAGCTGGCCGCTTTACATGGACCAGCGGGAGGTAGGAGATCACACACCACACATCGTTGCACAACGGGCTGCTTAAAAGAATTTAAATCGATCAGAACTCTGCTTGTCTGAAATTTCACAAAAGGAGAACATACTGCTACGTTTGTTGTTGGAGCCGGAATCGCAGGTCGACCTGCAGAGGGTGAAGGAGGCACCGGCGCAAGATGAGCCACGGAAGCAGGATCAGGATATAGTAAACCATTGTGATAGTTATCTAAGAGAATCTGACTATTGATTTGAGAGGGAGCCATGTTCAGAAGCGGACGACCAGCAGAATCGAAACATTGAGGCGGATAGTGCCACCGGCAGAAACAGTACAAAACACGACGACGTGCCGAGCTGTCTTGAAAAGTATGATTAGACCTTGGGGTTATGAAGAAAGTTCTAGGGGAAGGAGCGAACCTCGAATAAATGCATTAAGAGTACTGAATAGAGATTGCGCGGCACCAGGATGTACTTCTCTGAACTTGGTACAGAGGGAGTTGACAGCATCATATGCCCTATCTGTTGGCTCGCAAATCATAGGCACGTTTCGGGTACGACAAAGAAGACACGCAGCCTATAAGAAAATGGGAAAGTTGTGGGAGCTTCAACTATGCAGTTTTATCTATGAACATACAAGAGAATCAAAACAGGAAGTAAAGATCATTGGCTTGAAGCACGAATAGCCATCTCTTTACGCATATTTCTGGTGACCGACATAGGATCGGATCAAAAGCAGTTTTCGGAACAACCCAACAAAAAGCTGGCATTTTAAAGCATTTATACGTATGCCAAGCAATTTTTGTTTATCTTACAAAAGCACTCTGGGGCCCTTTACAGCATCAGTCACTAGACGCACCTGACCGACCATCTTACCAACAACTGAAGTAATTGCAAAATTTTTTTTGCAAATGAAGTTTCTCAAATTACGACACAATGGAACTCTTTTTTCTCGGAGGTGAGGAATGCCAGCTGTTAGCAGTCTACTCATACAATCAGTTACTAGTAAAGTTCACTTATGCCTTCGATATTTCACTACAACAATTCGCTTTCTATGGTAACCGTGAAAAAAGTACAGTGCATCAGCGAGGGTCTCAAAACAGTTTAGCCGACGTATACACCCAAAGGCCGAAGAGTTCTCAGGCGTTGTAGAGCCAGTTGAGTGTGGCCAGCTGTACGCAAAAGCACACACACTTGAACAGCTCGTCCAAATATCCCCACCATGCAACTTTTGTCGTCACATTTTCGTCCAACCCCTAATATGACTTCGTTTTTGAAACTACATGTTCCTATGATACGCCGACTTCCCCTTTTTTTGCCACTTCTGCACTATTCGCATTCCTCGTTTGAAATTTTCCCCAGAAATTGTTGTAAACCAAGCGTCCGGGCTTTCTCCCCTCCCCCCTGCCTCTACCTTTTTCGGCGGTTAAAGGATTTCATTTAGAATGACTTCACCGCTTCAATCGTAACAACGATTTTAGGCAAGAGTCTGAACATTTCCCCATTAGCGGATGTGCAATTTCCACTCTTAATTTTACTTTTGAGAAACTTCTGAATGCACTTTCCAAAGCAGAAAACTGTCTTAACTCCTGACTGTTTCCTTACCAGAAATTGTGAATGCTATTGTTAGAGGTGACTGAGATTTATTTAGAACAAATATCTTTCCACATTAAGATAAAATGCTGTCGTAAAAGGATACCTGGTTCGATCCAAGAGGAGGTGGCATGTTCCCTATTGCTTGGCGGAGTGCTGGCATATCGTTTGGCGGTCCTCCAGGAAACATCTTCAAATAGATAGCGGGTGCTTTTGGTTTGTAGAAATATGGAAAAGAAAATATGGGATTGGCTGATCTACCTGTTGAGGTGCGGGTTGCATAGATGGTGCAGCTGGCTGATCATTTCCCTGCTCAACAAGACCAACTCGGCGACGATTCAGTACTTCGCAAGTGGAGATGGGTGTACTCTGCCGTCGCTGGTCCACAAGAGGTTGGCTGACTGAAGGAATTGCAGCTGCCTCTACGGCCGACGAACACGGCGAGGGTTCTGAACTCAATACTATGCAAGAAATCAATTGGAAGAAAACAAGTTATTTCAGTAAAAATGCCAGTTACCAGGAAAAGACGGAGGAAGGCTGCGATTTCTTTCTTTGAATTTGAATCGAGAGGTTAACATGTCTATCATATTGTCAGCTGCAACATTCCTGATGAAAATCCCTTCTGGCATATTCGTAGGCATTTCACCAGGATTTTCTTTATTCGTCGCACAAAGATAAGAATGCCAACGGTTTTGGTTAACCTGAACAGACATTTTTCTGCATTAATCATAGATCCTTTGCTAGAGTGAGCAGGAACGGAAACGAGAGTAATAAAAAAGTGCTAGATCTGCGGCTCGCATGAGTGTCGCGCCTGCAAACTTTCTGGAAAAAATAGTCAAAACTGGTACTTACAAGAGCTGCACATCGCGAAGGATCCTCAGGACAGGTTGTGAAGGAATCACCAAACGTGATGAATGATCGATGGCTACAAAGCGTAGGCTTTGCATACCGCCCCTTTAAATAAAGAAACGATTACTGCCACAGTAGTGCTCTAAATCGCTAACAGTTACTACCTCTACTTGCTTGTGCCGTTTCTCATCGGTTGGCTGAAAATACAGATCAGATGCGACAGCAAACCCGAGGGATCGCAAGATAGTAACCTGAAAAAAATCTTGTTGAGCAAATTTCTAGTTCGAATATAACTCGGCGTTGAGAGATGAACGTCGATCTCTAAAGGAAGATCAAACTGGAGTGAAATTTTCAAAATGACGAGAAAACTAAGTTAAATAGAACAAATTAATGAGCATGTTGAACTCACCATAGAGACTCGTGGATTAGTGGCCCGGTTACCAGAGCACTCACGATAAACTGCGTGAGAGAAGATCCGGTCCAGATTAGCAGATGCAAGAAGACAATTTTTACAGAATGCTATTATAGGAATAGAGTGCTCCGTGTAGAGATGGTAAAATATCGCAGATTCCTAAAGTATTACTACGCGAGTCCAACATGGTGACATTGATGGTTATCATTAAATGAAATAAATGCTTACGCTCATATATATTTTGTTTGGTGTACATTTCAAGCAACGGTAAGACAGCTTTCCTTCGTCGTGCTTCTTATGGTGGTCCCGTAGATTAGAATCCGTTAAGCAGATGCTGCTACATTTTTCACAAGGACTGAAACGAATATGGAAAATTATGAGGCGAAAATAAGGAAATTACTTAATAAGCTTACAAAGCTGGAGCTTTGACCATATGTTGGGCACGATGCCGATGAGCTCTTTGTTGGTCTTCAAATGCGACCGCACACTGCTGACATAGGTACATTAGGCTTTCCGGCGTGAGTGGAACACCGTAAACCTTGAAAAAACAGAAATCATAAATTAATAACATGAATTTCGGCAATTACTAATTTACTTATTACCAGTTACCAACAATCAACAACAACTACTGTGAATAGATTTAAAATGTAATTTTTCTTTTGAAAAACCTCAGATATCAAGTCAGACAAAACAGAAATTCGACCTTTGTACCATCGGTCAATAAATAAACAAGAATGAACGATTTTCGTATTAAAAATGTTCCACCGATTGTGAACAGTTGCTGAACAATGTACTGAAAATCTACTAATGCTTCGTACTAATGCTTCGAGGAAACGTCTTCTTTGAAACAAGACATCGCGTGGAATATTACAAAAAAATTAACTATTTAGCCTCTTCAGCTAATGTTTGTTCTCCTTTGAGGCTTATTACCTAGAAAGCCTGCTTCAGAGTGCACCTGTAAGTTGTTACCTCGCGCCAGTTCTTAATTGCACTGCAAAGCCCACTAAAGCTTTTGATAGTAGATCTTGTACTGTCTCCCTCTAGATCCTGCTTCAGCGTTGTCAATTAAACAACTCCCCATTATTGGTGCAGATTTCTCTTATCAATTATGATTGATCGTAATTGGATGGCGTTAAAGAGACAAAATAAAAAGATCCGTTGCAAGGGGTCTGAACTAAGATCAGAACTCTTCGTATACATAAATGAATAAATAAATATGGCTGTAACAGATATCAATCGGGTCGTAGCAGCATTATGAAGTTCAAATCAGCTATACCTCATCGCAAATATCCGATACTATATCATTCCTATGAGAATTCTGTTCATGGTAGAGGCATGTCGATTGCCGAAGGAATGTTTCACTACACATGGAACACTTGAACTTCTTTTCCCGCTGGGCGCTAACTGATTGAGACGTGACGCCAGTGGGTCTGAATTATACGATAAGTGAACATATGTATGTATAATACTCAGTGCCATTAAACTCCTTCCATTATCGAGATAAGAAGCAATTCATAAAAAAGCCTTACAATTCATGAACATCGAGCATCATACAATCATCATCTCCCTCGTTCACGTAATGCACTACCGGAGACGCCGTAGAAGGCGCTGAATTCCGTCCTTGTTGTGATGGCTAAAACCGCATAATAAAAATGATGAGAACAACATGGCTGTTAAATCATTACGATCAGTTCTACCTCTTTCAATGCAGCAACAATGAGAATTTCATCATCACTATCGTCAGCAACCGAACTTTTGGGAACGGCACTTGGCGTATCCTCTCTTTCTTCTCGTACCGCAGCAGTCCCTAGACAACAGTTAGTCATCCAGTTGAACATGTTATTTAAAAAAAATTAGAGCTGTGCTCGTATCTGGATGAACGGAATATTATTATGTATGCTCACCATTCTCTATAACAATGACTGAAGGAGGCGGTCCTAAACTATCTATTAGGTCAGCGAGGACCTGCCGCTGCTTTTCCAGCAAAGAGGGTGAGTTTCCATCTCGAGAATTGCTGTTTTCGCTTTGATGCATCTCGTCTCTACAAAGACTTATATTATCCTCCTAGCCTGTCCCTGATGTCGTCATTAAGTACTGCTGGAAAAATATTATCTAATATAATTACACTTCTTGAGCTCCGCGTTGCGGAGTTTCTTCATCACCAGTATTTGAATCTTCTTCCATAGTAGTTGAATCCCGCGAGTGCGAACTGGATGCAGTACCCTCGCTGGTACTCGGTTCATCTTAAAGCTACGTGTACAGTCAGAGAATGTCCTGATCATGATTTTAGATATTTTTCGTCTGATTATTTCATGTGCCCACTACGGTGTATTTGGAAACTGAGCGGAAGGCGCTTTTGCGATTACAATTCGAAAATTAGGCTGAGGACTTTATCGGTTTGAGCTATCAATATCAGAGAAGCGTACCCAGCTCGCAGGCCTAGCTCCCACATAGCATCTGTGGCCAACATTAGCGGTTTCAACCAGCCGTGTTTATCAAGGTGCTAGAAATTCATTCAAGACAATGCTACGAGATATCGTTCGTTTCGAACTTGCCTCAGAGAGAGCGCTTCATAAAGAGACAGAAACAAAAACCGTGGATGAAGCCATTCAATAAAAGCTTCAAATATTCGATCTAGACCAAGCTCTGTGGTATGCATCACACATACACAAAATTTCGCTCTGAACTTTGAAAATAGGACGGATTTTTCTATATTTCCGGAGTTTTTTTTTTCAATGTTCCACTGTCAAAGGTATGAAGTATGGTATTTTTGATTCATTCTCCAAGTATTTGGTATACCTTTTCCTGCATCGTTGATTGAAGCTTTTTTCCGCTTCTGACGTAGACGTGGGAGACGAGGATATTCGATAGTCTGAAACAAGACATTCAGCTTATTGGTAGAAATCGGTAGACGAAATCATTTGAAGAAGATGCAAACATTGTTAAGTAGTCCTATCTCCGAGCAGCTGTGAAGTACTGGTTGAGGTGTGCAGGTCTCGTTCTCCTCCTTGAGATGACTCTGAGCGTGCTCGCTAAGAGCCTCAAGTGGTTCATTTTTACAAGGCAAGCAGCGAAGATTCTTTGTATGTTTCATCTGAAAATTAGTAAAAGACAGGGTCTCGTGTATAACTGTGAACAGGATGTTTTACATTACTAACAATGAAATGCATCACTGCGTCCTTCATAGCTTTGCCTTGCGCAAACGGTGCACCACCCATAAACTTGGCGGAGCAGCACGTACAGCTGACAAACGGGACAGACTTGCTACGACATTTATGCTCATTGAAAGCTGTGATGGTCGCAAACCCACGACGGCATTCGCATACAAACCTGAAATGTGTACACAAATGAGAAAATAGATAGATAGAGGTAATTGAAGCAGTCATCTATACGCTCATTTGCACTACGACAGAAAGAGAATCAATGAAAACCAACTTCTCGGGCGAACACCACGCAGTTTTTTATGCGCCGAGAAGAAACTTACCTCTCCGAAACACTTGTATGCTTTGACTTCCGATGAATCGTACGCTCTTGCCTCCGTACGAGCTTGTCACCACATATAGGACACGGTGCCATATAACAATCCGAAATCAGATGGACCACTAACTGATCTTCTCGCACTTGGAAACTGCAGAATGCGCATACAGTGTACAGACCGCCATCCTGAAAAAGAACTGCCGAAATGTGAGGAAGCAAGTAATATTCCAAAACAATGTGAACCAAAAAACCATGAAAAACTCAAAAAAAAAAACTACACTTAACTAGAAACAAGAATGGCTCTCAAACGCGGCGAACCTGCTTAGATGGATCTCCAGGAAGCGTATGACGTGCTTTTACGTGCTCCAGAAACAATTCAGGTCTTTCCAGATTGGTGAAAGGAGGATCGCAGAGATAGCACAATTGAGGAACTTCCCTATAAAACTAATTGATTGCCACAAATCTGAGTGGCAGCTAGATGGATGCATAAAGCAACTAACGTATGCCATTTCAAGTGCATCTCGTAATCGGCATGTGAACGCATCGTGAGACAACAAAACTCGCATTGTATCGACTTCTGTAAAAAAACATTGAAAGAAGATCGATTGTCCGAACATACTTGTAAGCTTCAATACGTCACCTTGCCAAAATTAAATGATTCAAAACATTTTCAATTATTTCACTGCCGGAACACAACTCATATCTCTTGGGAACGAATCTTTCCAGAAAATATTTTCTGTTGGCATCAACCAGATGGTCCACTCCACCCTTATCGGCATGCTTGGCGTGCCCTCGTACAGCAGCCCTACGTGTTCGATCCCACCCAAGATTATTTCCTGACACCACATTCAGGACGTGCTCAGTGGAGAGCGGGGCGAGGCAAGATCTTTGCAAACTGACACTCAACGAGTACAGAAACTCACCTTCAAAACTTCTGCAGAAGCTTGACCACAGTTACTGACGGATGCTCGAGCAGGGTCAACCTCCACTGAAAGCAATTATTTAATGCAGCTTCGCAGAAGTTAGGTTGAAATAGGAAAGCAAAACATGTTAATCCATATATCTCAAGAAAAGAAAGATATAGGGCTTACCAATACTATTGATATTTCCATTTTCATTGGTTGTCAAAGTGGAATCGTTAGTTTGTGAAGATGCAGATGAACGACTTATCATCTCTGCAGAAAGTTGGTTAGGCAAATTTAGATAAGAAGTATGAAGTATCAGGGAAGCAAAACGTACCACTACCACGTGTTGCTCTAGGCGCTTCCATAAGCCCATCTATTTCGTCAATTAAATTGGCTTCTGCAATGGGGTCTGGGTCTCCATTTATTGAACAAGCATGACTGTCCGCTTGAGTTTGACGCCCCATCTCTAGAGATGGTTGTGCGGATGGGTGAGAGGTGGAATGTTGGACACAGTTCGGTGACTTCTGATTTCCGTAGTCGATCACTTGGACAGATGGAGGCTCAGGATATTCAATCACTTGAACAGAAGGTGGGGAGCAGTCAAGGATCACAACTGGCGGGGATTCCACGCGCTGAGCCGCCAGATCTTTTTCCTTCGGTGGAGACGAGATGGCAGTGTTTGGAGAACATGAAGATGAGGTAGCGGCCGAGGAAGCGAATGTCTGAAAAATACGTATTCAATTTCAAATCATCTCCCTTCGCTACAATCTCCCTTACATCGTTTGATTTCAACTTAGCAAGGAGAGCTTCCTTCCTCCTCTCTTCGAGGTTGACAGGGAGATTGCCATCCTCCGTGAGACCAATAGCGAGGTTTATCGAGCGCGTAGTTGCAGAAAAAAATGAAGGCTTCCTTTTAGGGGAACCTTAAATATGAATGCTCTAGGGGTAATCAACAGCAAAACTTGGAACGAGATTCAACTCACTTGGGCTACCAATATCCTCTTCCACTCTTAAAAAAACACCATGATAAGCCGCCATATGCACTCGTAATCCAAAAACCGAGCATAACGTTGTTGAACACTCCCAGCAGCCTATACGGCTATTCGGTACTCCGTTACCAGCGAAAACGCACAAGACCTTGAATACGCAACTATAACTTTGAACACGATTTATGAGATACACTAGAGAAAAACTTGAGATAGTTAACTGGGCCTTGTTCCTGTTGAAAATAATCTTTCCAGCAAATGTGTGCACCGAACACTTTTCTTATGTTTCTTCTATAATAAATTAAAGATAGGAAACCCCATCGGTTCCATGCATGACGTCAGTGTTGAAGGTAGAGCATCGCCCACGTTGTGAAATGAAAAAAATAGTGGAAGAACGGCGAGGTACAGCAGAAAATAAACTGTATCAAAAATTCAATTCGCCCTATGCTGAAACCCTATCTGAGGAACAATCTGGTATCATTCGTATTACCTGTCGTTCCGATGAACTCGATTACCTCGAGCGGGCGCCAGTAACGTTCCATTCGTCCCTGTCGCGAGCCAGAGTAGTCCAGTGAATGTTACCCGCTCGAGGGACACGGGACAAGAATCCCCTCCGTTCAGAGCTTTCGTGAAGAAGTCCGCCCATCGGGCCGGCGGTCGTGCTGGTGTTCGCTTGACGTCCCGTGGGATCCAATCCGTAACCGTAACAGTCATCACTATATCGCATGACGTGCCCGGCCCATCTGATTTTCGTCTTCTTGGCGTATTCATCGGCATCCCTGGCTTCGTCCGTCGACAAAGCTCGGAACTCCGAATTCTCATCTGCACTTGCGTGTATAGGGAATTCCGAGCATCTTCTCCTCCAAACCGTGCTGAATGACGCTAACTGCATGCTCATCCTGCTTCCGTAGAGTCCAAGTCTCTGAGCCGTACGTCAATGCAGGGAGAACCGCAGTATCGAAAAGGTGGGCGCGTAGCCGGATGTTCTTCGTTTTCTTCACTACTCCCTCGATGTTCTTAAATGCTCCCCACGCCGCGCGTTTCGCCTGCTCAGCTCCGGAGATAGGTCGTCTCTCATGTTGACTACCCGACCTAGACAGCTGGAGCATTTAGAGATATTCCTTCCAATCAGTGTGGAAGGAGCATCAGGTACCAATCCGTTTCGCATGAACATCGTCTTCGTTAGGTTCAGTCGTAATCCGATCTTTTCGGTGACGATTTCGGCCAGCATTTGTTCCTCCTGCCCGATGTTGGGTATAAGCACGATGCTATCTGCAGAGCTGAGGCGATGTAAGTAGCGGCCGCGACCTCGACTGTGCGCTTTCCATATGATTCAAGAGCGGCACTGAAAAGTTTGGGCGTTATGGTATCGCCCTGTTGAACCCATCTCTTCACGTTGATAATGATCTCTTTATAGAATGGCGAGATCCTGATCGTGAAGTTGTTATAGAGCTCACGAAGCAGCTCTACATATTATTTAGGAACACCCTGGTTGCCCAGGGCTTCAATTACCGTTCCTGTCTCGAAGGTATCTATGGCTTCCTTCAGATCGATGAAGGTAAGACATAACGGCATTTTGCTGCCACAACGCTGCCGTATCGGGGCCCCCTCAGCTTCACGGGAATGTGGCTCATTTTATTACTATTTCAGCAGATGAATCTCGATGTGTAGCTTGCCAGACTTAAACATGTGAGGGGCTCATTCTTAACCGTGTGGATATGCAGACGTGCCGTTAAAGTTATACAGACATATTTTTTTATAAATATAATTGAAAAGGATAATGATGCAAGCTCCAAGCGGAATTCCAACGAACAGTAGAAAAACGTCGGCGAGAGCTTTCTGACCACGTAAGCCGACACCTGGTGGTAAGACGAAAGCATGCGGCAGGGCAACAGGTTGCTTCTCTTTTGGTAAACAGATATACCCCCGAGCAAATCCTTGTCCTGAGTTCAGACCGCGGTGGTTTAGATGTAATGTACCGGGCTTCCTGTGTGCTACTTAACGCGTGAAGAAAGAGTTCACCCGCGAGCTTGGGCGGACGGATAAGGGAAACTCAAGCAAGGGGGCCGCCATCACTCCAGTTCCTCGAAAACTACTCTACCATAGCTTCAAACGCGAAGCGGCAAGCCGGCCAATATCAGTCTCGCATAGCTGGAAATTACCGGAATTTGCATTGGAGCACATGATGAAATACTAAAAAATTTACAAGACCCGGTTTTTTTACATGAATATGGGTGGTAAAGTAGACATGCCCACCCACCGCGTTAAGGTGGAAGGCCAGCGGTGGGATGAATTCCCGCTGGTCACCACCTCAACGCGGTGGGTGGGTGGATAAATCTGGTGACTGACCAATATATGATACATCTTTTTGAAATTAATAACAGCTAGTACTTGCGTCCTTTCCTTGTCTAGAAATTTTTATCTGGATGACAAAGCTCTCCACGTAGAGCCACAGGTTATCACTTACAGTAAGCATTTTCTTTGATATCTAAACGAGCAAAGTCACCGACAAATAGAAACACGCTAACCAATAAGCCATTATCAAGGTCGTATGGTGGTGAATTATCGTCGTCTTTTCGTAGATCTGGACAACAGTTCATCAAGTGGGCATACATCGCATTATCTCCTAAGCAGAGGCATTGACACCTTCTGCACATCAACACTCTGAACAAAGGATAATCACTTTCACTAAATACAACTAGATAGGGCTGAAGTAGGTCCTTAAATAGGTGGCGAAAGAAACTCAGGAAAAAACCACTTACTTCGAGTAGAGTCCGCTGGGAATGTGATTGTGTTTTTTTGATAAAGGTTTTCCTCCGGCGAGCCTGCAGTACTTAGTAAATTTCTGGGAAATGTCGATTGCCAATTTTGTGCTTGTCTCTGGTTCTCCTTCTGTATGAACGAATTCATATTCACTATCACCATTATAACGTTCTGAGGACTCCACCTATAAAAAATTTTTCATGATGACAAATAGAACAGACAAATGCAAAAATCATGAATAAAGAATCGAATACATATCATGAATAAAATGGACGCTGTTTTTCCGGCATTTTAAAAGAGGAAGTCAAAGATGAACTATTATAGACCAAAGCATGGTCAACATTGCTAATACACTGCTTCCTATGACGTTACTCAACTACTCGAATAGAAGCTTTCAGAAATCGTACGTTCGGTTTTTTCTGAATACTCGAAAATAGAATGTACTGAACGCAACTGCGACTTTGCTACCGAGATGTACAGGGTGCGGCAAAAGTTCTGGCAAAGGCCGTTTCAGGTTCTCTATAAAAAAATGAGGCCTTCGATCTCGACAGGATCTGTGCCACTATTTACTGCAAATCCTCTTCTATACAGTCCATGAACGAGCCGTTGTTGTATGTTCCATTTTACAGAATGGTGACGAGCAAAGACCAACAAGCTTCCATCCTGCACCTCCATCTGGCTGGATGCACGGCGAAGACTATCTTCAAACAGCTCCAGATTCCCTTAAGAACCGTGTGCAACAATCTCAACAGGTACAAGACGACAGGAACTATGGAGGACAAACCCAAAAGTTGAAGACTGAAGAGTGCAACGACAAAGGAGATCGTGAAAGTCATTCGAGAGAAAATCCGCCGCCACCCTCGTAGGTCCGACAAAAAAATGGCTTTTGAGGTGGGTAATTCTGCTCGATCAGTTGGAAGGATTGTCACCAGCCATCTTTGACCTTGTTCTTATAAGATCAGAAAAGCTCACATGCTGTCTGAGCGTTTGAAGAAAACTAGGCTAGAAATATGTGAAGAGATTTTAAAGCGATTTTTGCAGGCACGGCACAGCACCATCCTTTTCACTGACGAATGTCTGTTTTCAACAGATCAATTCCTGAACACCCAAAAAGATGGGGTGATAGCGGGAAGCCTTGCAGAAGCCAGCCGACATGAAGGGATTGCCCAGCGATCTGTACACTACAAGTCTTGATGGTTTTTGGGGCAATCACATCGGACGGCAAGATGCCCCGATTTTCTTGGAGAAAGGGGTCAGGGTGGATAGCAAGACCTACTCAAAAGGCGTGTTGGAGAATGAGGTACTCCCGTGGGCAGAATCCCTTTCGGCAATAGTACATGGACTTATCAGCAGGACACAACTCCAGCACACAAGTCCGAAGTGGTACAGGACTGGTGCGGAACGCACTTCCCAGACCTAATCTCGTCGGACGATTGGCCACCAAACAGTCCAGTCCTAAACCCATTGGACCATTCCGTGTGGTCAGTTCTTAAGATGAAAGCCTGCTCCACTAAGCATAGAAGTTTGGATGCTCCATGTGCAACCCCCGTTGAAGCATGGGAGGATTCGGACGAAGGCTACCTCCGTGCCGCTGACGCATCTTCTCGGAGAATTTCAGCCTGTATTCGCGCAAAAGGATGTCATATCGAGATCTAGGTTGTTTTTGTGACCTATGTAGCTGTTGATAAATGCCGTTGGTGTAGTGTCATGTATCGATCGATCTGACCGTTTTTACGATCATATTTACGATTGCCAGAACTTTTGCCGCTCCCTGTAACTTCAAATTAGGATATGATGCATGTTTTCATCTTGAGAAAAGGCTAATTTTCGGGATCATACTCCCATTATGAATTTTCTGCTTCAGTACATTTTCACTTGTTGTATCTGTTCGATCATAATTTTCGCTTCTTAAAGGACTGTTGGGAAGGGCCGGTCCAGCTCCACGTAATGGTCAACATTCCCCTTAGAAATTCGGCAGAAAAAGTAAAGTTTAAAGTTTTTGGCGTTAATCAATCCCGTCTAAGGGATGCGCCCCTGCACTGGACTTTCGTTCAGAATCGTAGTGGCGTAATGACTGCGAATGTGGCCTATACAATGGCCTGCGGTGGCCAGCCGATGTACAAGTCAGTGCTTTTATCTTCCCAGACAAGTCTGGTACCCGAAATTCGGCGGTATATATGGAGCAAGAGTCCTTATTTGTTTTTTGATGGAGATATGTATCACATATTAAAGGTGCGTCGGGAAGTCAAATCTCATTAGAACCCAGTTTCAACGAAATGTTGCTCAACAAAACCTGAGGAGGACAAAGTTCATCATCTGACGGGAAATGGGAAGGCTCAGCTTATTACGAAAAGTCGTTGAAAAAACGCAGTGGCCTCATCAGAAGATGAAACCAAATGAACAGCAATATGTTGTCATTTAACCCTTATAGTTTACTGACTTAATCCTAAAGTTCTGTTCAGATTGTACTTAGCAGCGATAAAATCAATGTGCCCCAACGCGAGAGACGAGCGATCTTTCTGGTACGATCTCCTCGAAAACCGTACTCTCACAATTTCAGCTGTCATGTTGAAGAACGAAAAAAAGCCCATGAGTGTTTAACCCTTCTACGTTTCATTCTCAGTGTTGAATAATCCGGGCTGAACAATTTAATTTGCTAACCAGAAGGACAAACATTAGTTAGCAGACAAGTGCTGTAAGCTTTGAGCATATTTCTTTTGGAAAAAGCAAAACTCTCGCTGAATACTCTGCGCTTTAATGCTATAGAATGTTTCGCATTCCGAACGTGACACAAAAGGGCTTGCAAAGAGTATTGGACCCTAAACCCGATTACAAACCAAGGTATTATTCGACCTACTGTTCATTACGAATTCGTGAGGGAAGAACGTTGCTCGGGCCATTACGGCGAGTATTTGTGCTACATTAAAAAGACGTTATGAACTATTCGATGGTGTCAAAATGGTACAAGCGCTTCGCTTCCGAAAAAATTTCATTCGAGGACAGGTAACTTATCGGTACTCTCTAGATGGGTACCTCATGAATTGCGTCAGTCTGATAAACGATCCGGACGCTTGCGGCTAAGCCTCATCTTCTTCACTACGAGACATCGCAACAGGGATTGAGAGCAGGTTGCAACACATCAACCATACACTTCAGCACCACAAGGTTGCCCAGAGATGGGAAACAACCCGGAGCAGAAACAGGCCTTCAGAGAAAGAAGATTCTACTGTGTTGCTGGTGAGACTGCCTATGAATGATCTATGGGAACTGTTTCAACACTGGTGCTACAGTAACAGCCTCAGTGCACACCAGACAGCTGCAAAAAATGTAACACAAGGACAACGCCAAAAAAAGAATGAACAGGTTCCTCCCCACGATTACGCCGCCCACACTGGCGAACAAAACATCAAAAAATGGATCGAAAAGAAATTATGGAATAATGAGAAGTATCATCACATCTGCTTTACCAATGGACCTAGCGCCTTCCGATTAGCACCTATTTAGAACATTGGAGCTTCATCCGAAGGGAAAAATTCGATAATCGTCGTCAAGTTGTAAATGAAAGCGGTCAGCCTTCGCGGTCATTGAATGCTGGAGAGAGGGAACGAGAAGATGCGCGAATATCCACGATAACAATGGTGATCAATCCGTTGATAGCTTTTGTTCAAAAGAAAAACAAAAGTTCTGAAGTGAATTCGCGCGCTGTCATTGGTCGTGAGCGGTCGGGTTTCCCTGTGCTCCGCAATCGATTCGACTTTTCTCGTCTTTGCTGAACCTTATCTTGATTCTGTATATTGGAGCTTATCCCCCTGGATACCAATTCCCTACTCGACTCGCCGGTGGTCGTTTTATGCTGATTGCGCTTCGACCGTCTACCTACTCGAATTAGCCGACGGTCGTCCTATGCTTGTTGTGTTTCGACTTTCTGCGTTCATTTGTCATTGAGAGATCCCTTGTGGCGGGGGTCGAGTTTTAAGTTGCTGCTTTATGCCACTTGATCAGGTGTATTTTACCGATTGTGTTTTTGTTTACTGATTCCCTTTCTTGCTGGTGTGTGCGTGCCATAATTGATCCAGTCTGAAATTGGAAGTCAAATTGACTAAGATCAAGAGCATGGTGATTATGGACACGCCGAACAGGTCTCCGTACCAGCAATAAAGAGAAAACATTTGGAATGCCCATCGCCGGATAAGTGTGAGGAATGGTCAAAGCTAGTCGAGGAATGTTCAGGACCTGCTATCCCTTCGTACGTCAAATTGATATTGAGTTTCCTTATGGACACGAAAGAGCAAATGGACTCGATGCGTAAATGGATTGGCAGCCTTGTTGATGAGAATGCGAAGCTAAAGGCGGAAAATGAGAAGTTGAAAAAAATGATTGATCATCATAAATCACCGCATAATTCCTCTTTTGTCGATGTTCTGGATTCTCAGCCTTTTCATACATTGAATATTTCTGATGATGATCCTAAGAAGCGTTCTATTGTAATTATTGGTTTACCAGAATCTAACTGTGGTTCTGCCATCGATCGTGCCAATTACGATTTTCAATCTGTTAATGCGGTTCTGAATCATTTAGAAATTGAGTGCATTCCATGCACGGTTTATCGCATGGGCCGACCCAATCGAGATCGGCCGCGTCTAATTAAGGTTGTCTTACCCACTTCAAGATTCCAGCAAATGGCTGTGAGGCGTGCGCCGCGACTGCGGTCTTCCGAAAATAAAGGTATATTCCTGCGTCCGTCCCTTACCAGAGAGGAAAGGGCACAGTTGCGTGAGGCACGTCTTGCAAAAAAAAGCAAATCCCTCCGTAGTAGCTACTGACTCTAGCCAGTCTTCATCTGCATCCCAGCATTGTTCTTCAAACTAGAAAGTAATCCCCGGCCTTATCACAAAGATGTTAGTTGTATTCTTGCCAATGTCAGGTCACTTCATAGTAATGCACACTCTTTGGTCTATTCCATTTCTGGCCAAGAATGTGGTATAGTTGCGCTTACAGAGACTCGGTTGGGAAAGAAAGATGAGTTGGTGCCTTTACTGGGAGATATCTATCCACTATATGATGTCATTAGACGTGACAGAGCTAAAAGAAAAGGAGGAGGTGTAGCACTTCTGATAGGTAAGTTTTTCTTTCCCGATCTAGTTTTTGCTGAATCTGTTTCTAATGCATATGAACTTTTGTCTGTTGATATTCATTTTGAGGAAGGCAGAAATAGAATCGGTTTGGCATATAGAACTCCAAAGTGCTCTCCAATTCATACTAGGCAATTAGTCAAATGTTTGAGCGATTTATCGTCCTGTAACTATCCCACCCTCTTAATGGGTGATTTTAATTTTCCAAATATCGACTGGCGTGGTATTCCATCTTCGTCTGATGCTTTATCGCGTGACTTTCTAGAGATGATTTCAAACCACTGTTATTCACAGTATGTTACCCAGCTCACTAGAGGTCTGCATTTACTAGACCTGCTTTTCTGTAATGAAGTTGGTATCATAAAACACGTTGAATTACTACCTCCTATTGGGTCGAGCGATCATTCTGCGGTAAAATTTTCCCTCAAGTTCGCTTCTCCTCGAAAAAAGTTTGTGTATAGATATGATTTCAGAAGAGTGAATCTCCAAGGACTTCGTTATTATTTGGATTCAGTGGACTGGCTAATCATTCTATTGTTCCATTTCTGTTGACCAGATGTATGAAACGTTCATTTTCATACTGCAACATTGCCTACAGTTATTTGTGCCCAAGAAAAAGGTTCTTGTCTCTTTCAAACGTGTTCCTAAACTCCTGAAAAAGTTTTTTATAGGTAAACAAAAGGCCTTCAGGAAGGGTGTTAGTACAAATGCAGCCCGTAATTGGCGGCGATATAAGTGTGCCTCCGATAGGTTGGACAAAAAGGTATTCAAATTCAATTGCTCAGTTGAAAAGAAAATTCTGGAATCCGATGATAGAACCCTGCTTTGTAAATACATCCGATCACGGATTAGGCAAAAAGAAGGTATCCCTTTTCTTCGAACGAATGATGGATCAATTGTCACT